TACCATCTCTGCAAAGAAGCTGAAGAAACAGTGGACCATCTGATAAGTTGCTACAAGACAACCGCACAGACTGATTACAAGTAACAGCATAACAAATGTAATAACAATGGTGCATTGGAATATCTCCAAGAAATATTACTTGCCTACAAGCCAAGAACTGGCGGGACCACAAAATAACAAACTTTATAAAAATGAAGTTTTATTATTCTTACAACAATGTGAAATTTCAGCTGCCAGTTCTTTAGCTGGTGTTGACTTCCAGATACATCAAGTTCTTCCCAACAACCTAGGATGTGTAATCTAATAGTGGATAGATGTGCAGATCTCCACAATGTGGTATTTTGTAATTGACAGATGGGTACTTTGTCAACGTGCTGATTTTCTGAGTGCTGTCAAAGATCTTTTAATATGGTATCCAGTGTGCTGATAACTACTGGGACCACCACAGATTTATTTGATTTTTATCCTGCCTTTATTACTTTATAAGTAACTCAAGGTAGCAAATATACGTAGTACTCCTTCCTTCTTCTATTTTACTCACAACAACTCTTAAGATTGATTGGGCTATAGAAGGGTGACTTGCCCAAAGTTATCCAGCTGACTTTCATGATTAATGCAGGACTTGCACAGTCCCGATTTCTAGGATACCACTTTAACAACATACCAAAGACCATAATCTTATTATTATGGTTAGTGGCACAGTCAACCAGGTATTTAGACTGAATATGGAATTTTTATCTACCCATTGAGTCCTTCCCAAGGACCTGGGACAAGCAGATGTTGTTTGATTGTGTTAAAAATACTGTCGCAAGATCTAAGCTGTTCCATATAAAGCTGCCTTTTACAATAGGCAATGGGCTGATGATGATTTTGTCAATACCAATGATATCCAAGTGGTGCTCCAGAGTTTTTGGGACTGTACCCAAGGTACCTATTACTATTAATATTATCTTTGTTTTCTTTTGCCATAATTCTATTTTTTGTCTTCTGCTATATCTAGGTACTGCAATGTGCACTATATGGACTTTTTTTATTTATCTTATTGACAGTTATTACGTTTGGGGTGTTATGTGGCAAGTCTGTTTGAATTCTAAAGTCCCAGAATACTTCAGCTTCTTAATTTTCTATAACTTCTATTACTCCCAGCAGTTCTGGCTTGCGGGCAGATGGTGCTTCTTGAAGATATTAATAACAGGTCACTATTTCTTTGTGTTCATTCTTTGTATAGTTGTGACAGGTATACAACTTTTCTTCCAGTAGTCCAGAGCTGCTGGTCCTGATTCTACAACCAATAGTCCTGAGTTCTGTAGCTCATTTGACCCCAGATGTCCAGGAACACTTAGCAGAGTCCTTATTGACCCAATTGACAACTGATCTGTTATAAATTAATTTTCACCATATTGCTTATGGGAGAGACATTCTTTATCTGGCTCCTCTAATGAGATCTGTCCAATATAGTTGAATCTCTAAGCTCTCATGTTGCTCAGAACACAAAAGCACCACAACCACATCAAGGTATTGCCTACTGAGGGTTAATACTCACAATAATGTGAAGTCACATCTGCTAGTTCTTTAATTGATATTGGCTTTCAGATGTTTCAAGTTCTTTCCAAGAACCTAGGGTGTCATAATGTATTGGTGTAGTATATGAGCATGTCCAAGCAATGTGGTATTTTGCAATTGACAGATGGAAATTTTGTCAATGGGTAGATTTTCTAAATCTAAGATTTATGGGTACGGCAACCAGTGTGCTGATAATGACTGGGACCACCATGGCCAGTTTAATTGCATAGTCTTTTAATTTCAATTTTCAGATCTTGATATCTTGATACCAATTTTTAGATCTTCTCCCAATTCTTTGTCTTCTATTCTACTAATCCCTGGAATTGCCACCCCAATTGTCAACACAATTTTGAATCACAACTATATCCAGTATGTTATGACATTATTTGAAGAGATTAAATATTAACATTGTTAAAAGGGAAGGAATATAAAGTTTGTCTATTTTATCAAGATTAAACAGATGTTTTTACTTCTTTTGTTGACCAGGCTGAATGATCAGGTTTTAAGAATATGCCTATTGATGAGGGATAAAGTGATTGTTTCCTATATTTTAAGAGAAAATGTTAACTTATTTGAATTGTTTATACTAGTTGAGATGAAGGGGAAGTTACTTTATTTCTTTTTTTGTTATAGTCCTTTTTTCTTTTTTCTCTACTCTTTTATTTTCTGCACATTTTACTTTTTCTTTCTACTTTATTTTTTGTAGTTTGTATTAGCTTTTATCTGTACAATTGTGGTACTTAATAAAATTATTTGAAAAAAAATATATTGAGAGCATTACTGACCATGAAGACAGGTACAGTAAACCGGCAAGCAGTGTTATATAGGTTCCCCAAAAAGCTTTTGAAGAAGATATTCTTCAAACAGCTGACCATATTTCAAAATCTTATAAAGATACCCAGAAAATGAAAATATCAACAAATCTGATATTTATCTCACTATTTTGCAAGCATTATTTGTTGGCAATTGAGAGAAATATAACAAAAAATACCACCTATATAATATTTCAGTGAAAAAAAAATGTTTTTACACAGAATATCCTAAACAAGTCTATCAATATTCACCTTAGGGAGAAATTTAAAATAAAATATTTCTTATATTTCCTGACGCATCAGAGAAAAGTTCACACTTGTTTAAAAAAAAAGCACACCAAACTCTTCTGAATATTCATTTCTTAACACTATTATATCAAAATAACAATAACAGTCCAAAGAGTATTGTCGGTGTATTAAAATGTAACTGCACCAAGTGCAACATAGTAAAATAAAGTTACTCATGTTTCAATCGGCTGTTTCTATTTGGATTATGTATATTATTTACAATTTCTTCAATTCCCAAGCAATCGGATTCCATAAAAATTGGTTCTCACTGTGACATAATGATAGTACACTGACAGCTGTATTTTGGCATTCCTTAGCTCTTCAGGGCATGTTTTCATAGCTTCTCTTAGCCATCTCTTTATTTTTGGCCTCATTTCTGCTTTAAATACTCATGCTGCTCTATCTGTTTCACAGGCTTATAAATGTTATACATCAAAATTAGTTTCACTTATTATGGAAGGAAACATTCCGTAAAGCATTCTGGAATCCGTGCCTCAAAGCAAAGGCTTTATCAGCAGGTTCCTGTTACTGCTTCTTGAGGAAGGAAAACATCACTGATCAAAACTGTACCTGATCTCTACAGAATACTTACCCACTAAACATTCATTCATCAAATTTAAAAAAAAAACTGCATCAAGAAATTTATATATTTATTTTAGTTGAAAATACATAAAAGCATTAGTGACATTTAGTAACTTATAGTTGACCTTTTTTTTTTAGGTTGGAATTTGGCCATCTAGAGAACATGAAATAAAAAATAATAGAAATCTGAAAACAATCTTACCTACAGTAATATTCAGGCCACTGATTACATTTCTGATAATTGGTAATTTCATAATAGTAAAGAAACATTCTTGTTAAATGACTGCATCTCAAATAGGGGATTTGCAACCTCTCTTAGAGTTCTCAGTAGAGAACAATTAGTTGCTATTGTAGCAAGTGTATACTTGCTATTCACCCATAAAGGAAAATAATAAATGTGTCTCAAATGTTAATTGTACAAAAAAGTCATTAAAAATAAGTACTGGTATTGCTCAGTTAAGAAAAGGAATTAAGGCTAGAACTGCCATCACTAAGTGAAACAATCATAAAGCATGATGTCATGTTACCCTTTCATTTAGTGATGGCAATGCTAGCAGTCCCGGAAGCCACCATTATGCGACGACCTCACACAACTCAAATGTCTCAGCTTCCCCACTGACTATACTTGCGGAATGCTGGCAGGAAAGTTGAAAATTGCGATCATGTGACTACAGGGATGCTGCAATGGCCAGAATGCTAAGGAACAGTCATAACTACCATTCATTCAACTATTATTGTCGTAAGTTTCAACAATTAACTATTGAACGAATAGTCTTTAATAGAAGACCACCTGCATTATACTTTATATGAAAGTTGATAATTAATTAGAAAAAAGGCTGGAAATAAACAATATCAAACTTTCCCCCTTAGTTGCCAAGTTCATCATAAAACTATTCATTCCCAAATAAGACCTTTGACTGTTTTCCCCTCAATAAACCTGGCAGGCTGTCCTTCTAAATCAGGTCAAATATATGGTTCTTCACCTCTTCTATCCAATTAAGTAATCATAGCTCAATAAATAATAGTTATAGTCTATTGATGTATCTTTTTACCTGTATCTTGACACTATCTTTTACTAGTTTATACAGTCTTACAATTAAGATTAAGAAATTAGTTTAGTTAATAAACTCTCATGTAAACTACAGTTAATGAAAAATATAGATCTAATAAACTATACATAAAATATGGTATAGTTTAACATTTATATACAACAACAAAATTTATTACAGTTATGGTAATTTATTTATAGGCTATAATAGCAGATTGTAAAGAGAATTTCTTAATGTGGTGAACATTTAGAATTAAATAGGTGTAGCCTCATTCTTTTGTATTATTGTGGAACACTTATAATAATTCTAAAATGATATAGAAAAAAATCCTTTTTCCACTTTATACTGCTCAATATATATTACCATTTCCCAAGTTTATACCAGCAGTCCCCATAATGCTGAAGCATATTCAAATCTAGCATGAAGTCGTGTCTAGAGGAGGATCAGTGGAGAAAGTTGGTCATATGGCCTTTAGATCTGTTGGATTCTGGCACATTATGGGCTCTTGTTTTAGGATTTATTTATTCCATGGTCATGCATCAAAAATTGCAATAGGAGCAATTAAGAAACAGAATATATCCACAGGATTTCCCAAATAACTTCTGCAATTCCCAGACAATGTAACTTAAAAACTGTTCCATAAAACAATTGCAAATTATGTCTAATAATATTACCATATTAAAAATATAACAAAATTGTAACTTACCTCTCGAGTAGCTAATCTATCACTTAATTCCTCAGCTTGGGCAATATTACCTTCAGCTACACATTTGTCTATACTGATTTCAAGGCCAGACTAGAAAACATACCAAAAAAGAGAGAAAAAATGAATGGTCCTCCTAGAATACCAACTGAACATTATAAAAATGTGTTAAAAAATCTATCAATTCCAAAATAATATGAACTTCACATCTGTAACTTTCATGTATAGTAAATCACATGCAAAATATTTTTAAAGTAAATTAGGAAGCTTTGACTGAGTAACTCTGGTAACTTCCAAGACAAATCCATTTGACAAATTCTTGTCAAAAAAATTGAAGTAGCTTGCAGTTGGAATATTCTTGCCAACTTCTTCCATCTAGGTTGGAAGCAGTTCTGACCATAAGTGGGTTTTAATTTCTAATCTGAACAGCCTGCCCTATTGATAGTTACAGAACTGTTGTGTAAGAACAAACTTCGTATTATTTTCACTTTATGTTTTGAATAAATTCAGGATTTAAAAATGTCAGCTAGCTTAGATGTATCATAATAATGTTTCATTTCAATATCTGATTCATCCATTCCTTTCCTGAAGAAAATATGATATATCTGCATCAACTGCATGGAAAATCCCAATTACTATTGTATCTTTGCCATTCTTAGTTTTTATATTCATCAAGCAAATAATTTCCAAAATGCCACCCCTCGTTTATTTCACTATATTATTGAATTCAAGCCTGTAAATTGTCAGATGTAGGAAAAAGATACACTTTTAATTTCTAAAATCAAACATTAAGCAAAAGCTTTAAAAACCCAGCAGCAAATCTTAACTTATCTTAGTTTTTACAAATGAACAGGTAGTCTTTAACTGATAACTGCAACTGGGATCAGAATTTCCATTCCTAAGCAAAGCAGTTGTTAAGTCAGTTGTACTAAATTTTATAACCTTTTTTGCCATGGATGTTAAGCAAATCACTGTAGTTGTTAAATGACTCAGGCAGTCGTCAAGCGAATCTGGTTTCCTCCATTGACTTTCCTTGTCAGAAGCCAGCTGGGAAGGTTGCAAATGATGATCACGACTCAGGGATACTGCAACTGTCATAAATACATGCCAGTTGCCAAGTCCCTGAATTATGATAATGTGTTTGTGGGAATGCTGCAATGGTCATAGCTGCGAGGAACAGCTGTAAACCACTTTTTTCAGTGGTGTTGCAACTCTGAACCATCGCTAAATAAACATACATGCAAATCAAGGACTACCTTAACAGAACATCAGATTTTTATCTCTAAAACTCTGGTTTATCTTTACTGAATTTGTAATATAGATGAATAACAGGCAAAAAAAAGAAATAAAACGCTGAATATAAGTCTTATTAGAAGAATAATTATATATTCCAATTAAATTTAAATAAACAATATAACCCTTCACATATTAAGAAGTGATTAAAGCATTTTGGATTAAGATTTGGTGGAACATTCAAAATATTTTTAAGAAAAAGATAAAGTTTAAACCACAGATATTTTTATTGGGTATTTTGGAAGATTTGGATGTAAAAGAAACGGAGTTGATGTTAAATCTTATAACGGCGGCAAGATTGCTAATTGCTCAGTATTGGAAATTGAAAGGTATACCTACTATAGAAGAGTGGGTAGTTAAAGTCTCAAATTTAGCTGAAATGGCCAAGATTTCCGCTTATGTGAAGGATTACTCACAAGAAAGATATATATTGGTTTGGAGAAGATGGATTGTTTATATTGAGTTGAAATATGGAACAAAAAATATCATTTCCAAAAACTCACTTGAAGACTAAAAATTATAAATTTTAATACAGTTTTACTACAAATATAATTGTATATTTGTTTTAAAAGAGAGTTAAAGGAACTTATAGATTTGTTAGACTAATAGTTGATTAATGTTAGTTAGATTATGATTATTTTATTGTTAATCCTGTGATTGGCTCTGGGAAGTGAGGGTGGGGGAGGGAGGAAGGGTTGGGTTTGGGGGGAGGGGGGATTTATATTGTAAAACTTTATAAAATTTTCAATAAAAAAAAAAAGAAGTGATACCTGAGTAATCTTGTTTTTCTTTTTCCTTAACCATTCTTTTCTTTTACTTGTGTCTTTCTTAGATCATGAGCCTGAAAATGGGGATTTTTCTTTTTTCTTACTGATCCATAAAATGAGGGGTTTTTTCAATTGATGTGTGAAAATGAAAGCTTTAAATGAATATATACATTCATTACATTTTATACCGACATCTATCACTGACCACGGAACACTAGAAGATTGTACTCCCATTCCTAGTCCAAAACAAGAGCACAAGATCAACCTTATTTCCCCCATTCTTGCTTTACTTTGGCCACACCAATCAGCACATGAGTAATTGACTGGGTTACATGGGTTCTGCATGTCTGTGTGTAGGCATGCATATGTATAACATTCCTTACTTTGTTTACACATTGGTCCTTTTTATATAGTTTGCTGTTAATTGTAATGTTTTAATTCTTAATGCCTAATGTTTTGCTATATATTTAACCTTCTAATTATTATTTCTGATATTGTAAGTTGTTCAGGGTCTCTTGATAGTGAGATGAGCAACGTATAAATTTAATAAATAATAAATATATATATTCACTGCACTCATATGTAGTTGCAGTGAAATGAATTGCAAATGAAATGCAAGCTTAAAATCATTTTTTTTTAAAAAAAAAAAATCTAGCAATCACCTTTTGAGTAGTTTCCTTGCTTGCCGGTGGTTTAAATCTATCATTGATTCCAAAATATTGAGTGAGCTCTTTGAAGTGTCTTTCCTTTACAGACTCTTGGCTACAAAGAAAGGAAAAAAGAAAAATAGGTGGACAAGATCCTATCCCATGAAAATAATCTATATGTAAATATGTAACATATTTATATGAAACATTAAAATTAATAATTATCTAAAGAATAAGGACATATTTTATAGAAACCATATTTTCTTCTATTTTATGACTGTAATACAATTAAATTTATTTACATTTGTATATTTGATATAAAAGAATATACTTATTTTATGAAAACAAAACCCTCCATATCTATTCTTTAGCAGATGGGCAGAAGTAATATTTTTTTCAAATAATATTCCTTGAAAGGATCACATCTGTATAAAAATTGATTGCTGAATCACTCTACGAGACTGAAGAGGAACTGAACATTTTGACCATGCAAAAATAAATTTTAAATAATCATGTCATAGTTTCAAATACCTGTCAGTTATTTCTTCATTGCTTTTCATTTTACCTAAGAAAAAAATCAAACCCTAAAATTTAGTATGAAAAAATTCTCATGAACTAATACAAATGTTTTAGGACTTAATTTTAATGCAGCAATAAACATGATGAAATCAGTGATGTCTGAGATATAATTAACAGAGAAAAACACCAACATTTAGAATTAAATCCCAGCTTAGACACTGTCTACTTCCACAGCACTAAACACACAAATATGTATTGACACCTACGTTTTGAGGGAATTAAACCTTATATGCTCTGTAGAATAATATGCTCTGCTGTATGTGGATATTAAGCTAGGCTGATGGAGGGACCACCTTTATCTATAATAGACATCTGAGAAATACACTTTACAGTATTTCTCACCTGGCTTAAGTTTTCAAGACAGTGATGGAGTGATAAAACCAGAGATCAGTTTTGTTTTGTTTTGTTTTGAAGGTTGGGACTGAATGGCAGAATCAATTTCATTATACACTGCCTTTGCATCTACAGCTAAATCATTTGTAAAAAAGTTATTTCTAGTGCTTTGGTCAATCAAGCCTCCTTATAAGACTTACTTGTCCATATAAATTTTCAAAATTTAACAAAGAAATAAACAAAGACACTGTTAAAAGAATACTTCATAACTGGGAAAGGGTGTCTGTGAATGAGGTAAATTCTTTAAGGGTAAGAGCACTATCAGAGAACAGGTCATTAACAGCTGAAGATATATAAAGATATTTTCAGTCATAATCACTTACTCCAACTTTCCTGTGTAAGCATTGCGTGAATATTAACAAAGGTAGTATTATTCCAAAACAGATTACTAATTACAGAGAGAAATCAGCTTAATAAGTTTCTAGTACAAAGGTTCAGACTAATTTGCATACAATGCACAATATAAGCATGTGAATATCCAAACTACATAGTCCACTGCAGCCTAGAACTCTTAAGCTCAAGTGATTTGCCAGCCTCAACCTCTAGAATAATTTACCAGATTCATAGCACTGCCCATAAATAAATCAAATGTTAAATCAAAAGCCACAACTAAAGAGTCCTTTTTTAAATTCTATATGGTCTAACCATTAAAACACAGAAGAGAATGTCAGAGATATAATTAACAGTGAAAAAGATCAAAATTTAGAAAATCGCAGTGTACACATTAATATTTGTTCTGTTTTAGCATACTTCTACAATAGAACATAAGATATCCACATGTAATACCACATGCAAAATTACATAAATGAACAAAAATGCATAAACCTATCTCATGCATGTGAATATTTTCTGTGATGAATGACTTCTCTTGCCTTATCAAAAAGAGTTTCAAAAAAGTTCTCATAAATTCCATCATGATTTGTCCTACTGCAAGTAGGCTGTGGTTTAGAAAAAAAGCCAAAGCCTCATTGAGTACCTGGAATTAGGTAAACATTTATATGGATCCAGACTATAGTAAATGTTTTTTTTCTACTAGATAACAACCAAATAACAGAAACACATTAAGGTGATCATAAAATTACCTAATCCTAATGCCAAGTTATTTGGGAACTTTATTGTAGTGTTCCCTGCATTTTAATAACTTGAAACAAACCACCTTTTTGAGAACGTTTTCTCTTTTGTCGTTTATCTCTTTGACATTTTTCTTGATTTTTCATGTCAAGATTTTTCTTTTTCAGGTTCTGAAATTTCTGTTGAAAGAGACAAATGATTTCTTTTTACTTTTGTTTCATTACAATAAATTGAGTATTATAAAGCAACAAATTATTAACAATAACAAAAAAGTACAATATTCTTAACACAATAGTCAGTGGATATGCTTACAATATACATTGAACATGCACAATTGAGCTCTCATATATTCAAGGATTATCTTGATATTACTAAATAATACTTTTCACTTTCTTATATAGGAAAGTTCTTTAGACATTGACTTTGAAACGCTAAATAAAAGCTAAGATCTAAAATGTTTAATATATGTAAGCATGGCCAATGGGATTCTATTTTCTCCTTTAAAAAGCATAACATCACTGAGCATTATGATTGTGCAACACTTCAGAACACATGGGAAGGTGAATGCAGCAGCTGTCTATAATAAATAAGACAGCCACATCTGCTTTTGGAGTTATGAACCCTATAAAACCTGCCACTTTTGAAATTCTTTCTATGTGTAATTAGTGGCTTTCACACTATCCTAAGAAGCTGAGTTTCTGAAGTTAAGATAAGCTCTAAAACAGCTACATCTCTTTCAAGTTCATGTGGAAGCAAACAAAAATAGAATGCTTTAATAAATAGGAAAGATGCTACCCTCATGATATTTGAAGCATTTCTTCAAAACTGTTCTTAAAACATGCAAACCCTAATAAACAAATGTGAAATTCATTTAATGAAGATAGCAAGTAATCATTTATGAGCAAGTTAATTCCATAACATTTACTACAGGGATACACACATAGAGAGAGAGAGCGCAACAAAAGACAAAATCAATTTTGAAAAACCTAAAATATCAAAGAACACTCCAGTATATAAGCACTGAAGTGTCTACATGTTTGGTGAAAAGGGATTCATCACAACTTTCTCCAATCTTATTTTAAGACAGAATTTTGTCAAATAATGATATTAAAATATTTCTTCTCTATAACTGAAAAGCTTAAAAATATTATATTTCATTCAAAATATATTTAATTTACTCTTGCCAGAAGGATTACATGCCTAGATATCACAACAGGCATAACTAACCTAATACAGAGTTGTAAACAAACCTACATTCCACATATCTAAGGGAACTCCAGGAAGACATGCCAGACATTCCTGTTCTTCTGCAGAAGGAAGTTGGTTTTCAGCCATATTGTTTTCTTCATGATCACAAGTCTGTTTGTCTAGGAATTCCCTTTCTTCTTGTTTTTCATTTAAGATACTCTCAGGAAGAGATACTGTTTGTTCATCTTCTGAACTTATGGCAACTTCATCTTCATTCACACCAGGAGGTAGCAGACCACTCCACATCCCTAGAAATGAAAAGATCAAATACTCACTACCATCATGAAGAAATCTTCAGCACAATTATTAAAAATATCTTTAGGGCATCTTTACCACTGGTAAAATGAGAGCAAGAATTTTTGATGCACTGCAGTCCTTAGTTTTTTGTTCATTGTTGGAAATAGGTTTTTTGTTCATTATTGGAAAATGAATATGAGAATTAGCTATATAAGGATTGAGAAAAATACAGAATTACAAAAAATAACAGTGCTTCATTTAAATAGCTGAAAAAGATTAGAATTCATGTCCAAAAACTGTCCCTGCTATTTTTCAAAATATCAATATGTTCAAGTAAATTAACTGATATTACATAAGCATTTGTTTGTACTGTTGTTTTAGCAGTTATAGTAGCAAATATTGAATCATATTATACATTTTTTAAAAAGAGGAGGTACAAGAAAATGCAAACTCAGATGCATTTGAATTTATCTGAATAAATGTACAGCACACTCTCTCTGATTATTTAACAAGATTACACACAGTGCAATAATACAACATTTAGCCAAGCTCAACTCTTTGTGAATAAATTATGACACTATAATAGAAAAAGAGAAAAACAGAATAAAAGTAAGAAATATAAATAAGAAAAATAGCAACATGGCTTATATATTTAAAGTTGAAAAGTATCTAAAATTAATTAAATGCTAAATATTTGCTGATATTTTTAGAAGTCTTCAGCAGTTCCTTGGAAGAAGATGACTAATATCCAGTTCAATAGCACCACCACTAAAAAGCCTATTGACAAAAAAGCCTTTATCCATACAAAAAGTATTCTGAAGCAGGAAATTCTCCTAATTTCTATCAATATTTTACCAGTTTTTAATATTAAGATAAATTTTAAAAAATATTCTATTCATATTTCATGATTTGCTATTATGCTTATAATATTTTATTTTGGTCTGCAAATCTCCTGTGAAGCACTTGCTATAGTACAAAAATGTTTTTATACATAAGTTTTATTAAGGTGGGCTATTTTCTTTATATTTATAAAAGTTGGCAATTACATACTTTCCCTAATTTATGATTCACCAATTTTTCAAACAATACATATTCTGTAGTTGTTCTAGATGTCCCTCTTCAACTTATGTGTGTGTGTGTGTATGTGTGTGTATATGTTATCTTCTTCCATATTTTTTGTACCACACACACAAACATATGTACAAAAAATATGGGATAACAAAAAAATACAGAATGAAACTGTCATCTCAATACCTTGTATTGTTCCATGAACATAGAAAGCTATTTAAGATTCAGCCTGTTCCAGTTATAATTCTGAATGGTATGGCACTCTCCCTGAAAAATATCTGTGGCTATCTTTCTGGACAGCTCTAGTTTTTTGGGTAGACACAGAATATGGCCAGGTAGGCCTGTAGTGAGCTTCAGCAGATGTTCTAGTTGTAGCCATATCTTGGTTGAGCGAGCCCAGTGACGGTAGTCATGCCTCATCACCACCAAGCTGACTATCTCAAAGGGCTCAACATAGCACCACCTTTGAAAACTAGCCCAAAAAATTTGCTGCAAAATACTGGTAGAAGATGGCAATCTCATTCATGTTTTACCAATAGATCCTGCACTGAGCGGGAGGTAATACTAGATGAGCTCTAAAGTCCTTTTCAACTATATCCCATAATATAAAGCAACACATTTATTCTTAATGTCAGGCACTTCTGAATGAAAATTCTAATTGTTAGCCTGATTTGTCACATGTGTAGCATTCCTAAGAATAAACTTAAACCAACTGATTTCTACTATATTTGATGAATGTATATAAAAGTATGTATTGCTGAACCTTGATAGTCCCCAACTCTGAGTATGTTTACAACAGTGAAACATACAAAACAATTACCTTTGTCCTATTTGTTTTCCTATTCACCACTTATTTGTATTACTGTTAGAATCTCTGATAGATTATAATTAGGTACACAATTTGAATATACACTTATTCATGCTTCATTGAAGAAAAATCAACAGAGTTTACCAGTTTAGAATTCCAAGATGTTTTCTAATCCTATAAATACACAGAACACAAAACAATAGCTACAGATTACAATAAGTGACACAGACTACATTATCCTATGAAGATTTCAGCAGCAAAGCAACACCTGACTATAAAGATGCCTATCTTCCTTCATACAAGAATATTATCTTTTTTTGCCTCCTATCTCATTATAAGGGCAAAAGTATACAGAGGTATAAATCCAGCATTATTACACTTAGGTACAGAGTAGGGGCAGGATCCTATTTTTGGAGCAAACATGCTTGCATGGTACTTGCTCCATACAAAAATCTGGTCTTTCAGGTCTTCCAGCATTGCGCCCATTTCCACTCTTATCTGGCTCTACCATCCTTTTTTCTTTCCTTGTACATTTCCAAGTATTAGAGTCTTTCCAAATAAGTAGTATCTAAGCATAGCTTAGGTACATAGGATCCTGCACCTATTCTGTACCTAAGTACAGCTAAAACTTTTCACCATTCAATCAATGACGTTGTAATTAAAGTACCCTAATGTCATAATATCGGGTAAACTCTCCCTTTATTAGTCGTTGTGTCTCCCCCTTTTATGGAATTACAAAAGTTTCGGCTTTTCATTTGCACAAATAGTGCTAAGGAGAAAATAAGGGTACGGTGAGACAGTAAATGACGTTGTCCAGAACCAAGTTTTAATATTTTGTCGTTAGCAGCAGTGCACTCTATTCTATTACACACTTTGTTTATAAGTTATTTTTACTACTTACAAATCTTACACTATGATATATACTGCAGCAAACCTTTATGGTGTTAAGTGTTTCAGCACCTGGACTGCACCTCCTTCTAGGTTTAATCTATGTCCGTGTTGCAATTTATTGCTAACCACTCTTCAAATCCGTCACCAACTTATCTACGCAAAATTTTTTTGCAATTAGTTTGAAATGCTAGGAGCCCCGAGACAGTTGGGAGCTGATGCCTAGCTCGTTCTAGGTCCTTTTGCACAAAAGCAGCAATACAACAATTGCATCAGCTAAACGCAATTTCCCATTTTCCCCAGACTACGGAAGCGCCTGCGGCTTTTGCTTAAACATCACTGGTGGCCTTGGAATGGTCCCCAACACATCAACCAATCAATAAAAGCAACTGAAAACCAGGGTGAAAAGGGAGAGAGAGAGAGAGAGAAAAAGAGAGGAGAAAAGCCAGGGATTCTCCGGCCCAAAGCACGCTTCAGACTTGGGAAAGGAACGCCATCAGCCTCTCCGGCGCTTCTTTCGTCGGCCGGGCTCATATTTTTCCCAATTACACACCAGCGTCTGCCACCGAGACGGCTTTGACCGAAAATCTGTGAAAGGCTACCGCTTGCCTTAGCCAAACAGCCAAGGCAGCTTATTCTCCTCGGTCCCTAACCATAGAGTTGTCCCCCAAAACAGTCCAATTCCCAGCCTGACTTACCGCCGGATCTTGTTTACATTGCCGCCATCTTGGAGCTTCTCCCACAGCCGGCCTTGACGGCACGAGCTCCGCCTCTCCGCCGACCCGCATTGGCCAGCCTTTAGGCGCGGGCGTCTCTATAGCAACCGGTCGATCTTAGTTTCCAGCCGAAAGGCTCCTGTCGAGATTTCCGGCTTCTTCTGGCGGGCGGTTCTCGGGTCCGCCGAAGCGACGCCGCAAAGTTGAAGGGAAACTTCACAGAAGACCAAGAACAGGGGTGTCAACCTTGGCTCTTTTATGACTCGTGGACTTCAACTCCCAGAATTCCTGAGCCAGCATGGCTGGCTCAGGAATTCTGGGAGTTGAAGTCCACAAGTCATAAAAGAGCCAAGGTTGACTACCCCTGACCAAGAAGATTGAAAACTTTCTTTGGCTGAGCTGTTTTGAAAATGGTCTCGGTATCCCCCCCCCCACACACACACATCCCCAAAAACTAAATTAAAATAGCATCCTGGGGGTAGCCAAAAATGTAGGCTTTGCCCCGACTAAAGAAATTCGGTAGCTGAAATTTTTTTGATTATGTCCATCATAATCGTTGTGGACTGCTAGCGATTACTTAGATTTTCTCCATGACCAATTGTCCATAACCTGGTCTTCCAGCATTGCACTCATTGCCACTCTATCTGGGTCTATCCACCATCCTCTTCTCTTGTACATTTCTGAGTATTAGAGCCTTTCCAAAGAGCTGGGTCTTTGTATAATGTGTCCAAAGTAGGATAATTTCAGCTTGGTCGTTTGTGCCTTGAGTGAGAACTCTGCTTTGATTTGTTTGACTAAGAAGAGACTGGACAGCCATTTGTCTGAAATGGTGTAGGGTTCCTGCCTGAGCAGGGGGTTGGACTCGATGACCTCCAAGGTCCCTTCTAACTTTATATTATTATTATTATTATTATTATTATTATTATTATTATTATTATTATTGTTGTTGTTGTTGTTGTTGTTGTTGTTGTTATTGTTATTGTTATTGTTATTTTTGTTATTGTTATTATTAACCATTCGTTTGCTTTCTTGGCTGTCTAAGGCAGACATGTCAAACACAAGGCCCGGGGGCGGATGCGGCCTGCGAAGTGGTTTCATGTGGCCCGCGAAACCATCCTGGAAACAGTGAGGGAACGGCCACCGCTGCCTTGGCCCTGGCCCAGGCCAGCCGGGAGGGAGCCAATATACAATTTTGTGGTGGCCATCTATGCTGAAACTCATTCAGTCTTAGCTCCACAAGGCCGCCTGGAAACAGCGAGGAACCAGCCCCTGCCGCGTTGGCCCCGCCCGCTTGGTGCATGCTGGGGAGGTGTCACCCTTTGTGAGGAATGAAGAAATGCACCATCAGGACCTTCACCGGTCGTTTACCAGGAACGGATGAAGTGTATAGGCCGAACTACCCGAGACGGGACCAGGGTGGGGGAAGACGGTCTCTGGGAGTCTAGAAAGGGTGAGGACGGGTCCGGGGGTGTCCGTGAGAAGTACGTTTACTACATCTCGACCGGTGCGGGTGGGTCATCCGGTGTGGGTGAGGTAGGTGCGGGTGCCAGTAGGCCACCCCCCACCCCGAGGGCAACTGCAATGCTGATGCGGCCCTCAATGAAATTGAGTTTGACACCCCTGGTCTAAGGCATTTTAAGGAGTCTTCTTCAACACCAAAGTTCAAAGATGTCAATACTGTTCCTATCCTGCTGCTTCAAAGTTAAACTTTCACTTTTGTGGGGTGTCACATGAAATACCAAGGCTTGCCTGATTCTGATCTTTATAGGCATAGATACATCATGGCATTATTTTTTCATCTATTCCAAGGCCTTCATGACTGCCCTACCTAGCAATCACTAAATAAGACATATATGGACTCCCTTCCCTTGTATTAAACATAACCTTGAAAACATTTAAGTTTGTATAACTAAGCTGTGTCAGATACTTTAAAGGTAATCCTTTCACAAGTGTAAAGGGGAATATATAGGCCAGTGGTGGCGAACCTATGGCACGGGTGCCAGAGGCGGCACTCGGAGCCCTCTCTGTGGGCACACATGCCATTGCCCCAGCCTTGCCTCCCCCCGCGACCCCCTCCTTTCCAGCAGCCCCCCTGAAGGAGAGTCGCCCCCAAGCGTAGCCCACACGGAGCAGTGCAGCCAAGGACATGGCAGCCAGGCAGCGTAGACAAGACTCTGCCCTCACACCCCATCGTGCAGTTGATGCTGCAGGGCGCAGGTAGAGGGTGTGGCCGCCATAGCGCTGCTGGGCTGCCTGGGCGATCTGCGGCGGGCCCTGGAGGTGGTGAGTGGTCCTGTGGGCAGGCGGAGCGGGGGATGGGCAGAGCGGAGGTGGGGCAGGGGTGTGGAGCGGGGGCAGGGCCAGTTTTGGGGCACTCGGTCTCTAAAAGGTTCGCCATCACTGATTTAGGCTTATAGTGGAAGTACATCTTCTGAAAGAAAAATTGCTATCTATTGATTTTATTTGATTTAAAACCATTAGCTAAGACAAAAACAAGCACACAGCAAGTTATTTCTGCCAGGAGGTAACACCTAAGGGAGAAATTTTGTACTTACCTACTACTAAAAGACCAATTTCTAAAAATAGTAGTACAGGTACTATAAGAATTAATTGTATATTGGTCTGGGATTTTTCCTTGTAAGTCAGCTTGGTCTAGTGGTTAAGGCACCAGGCTAGAAAGCAGGAGAGGGTGAGTTCTAGTGCTGCCGTAGGCATGAAAGCCGACTGGGTGACTTTGGACCAGTCACTCTCAGCTCATGACATCAGACAACAAGCTAGTCAGTCAAATCCTATGGCAACGAAGGGATCAAAAGTAGACTCTACTCTTGCAGGAAAAATGTTAGGAAGAAAGAAAAGAAAGATTTGGGGCTTTTTCTAGACCTAACCTGGTAGAAAAGTTTTCACTCCCTTGTTTTCCAATTAGAAATTTCCCTTAGCTGTCAGAATAAAGCAAGAGCCAGAGTATCTATATAAACTATTATTTTAAAATATATAAAAACAAAGGCATCAAGTTGGCAGGAAATGGGTAGTTGTTTGTATGTATTTCTGTTTGGGTACCAAAATAGTACAATTGACTCAGGAGGGGAGCTTCAAGATCCTGGACTTTTAAATGTTTAGATCTAAATGGGATGGCACTACCTCAAGCAGATCCAGTCCACAACTTGGGGGTTTTCCTGGATTTGCTAGTCCTGCTCGAAGATCAGGTGGCAGTTGCAGCGAGGAGAACCTTTGCACAACTTCAGGTTGTGTTCCAGTAGCGGCTTTTCCTGGATCAGGAGTCCCTGCACTGAGTCATTCAAGCCCTGGTCATCCCATGCTTGGACTACTGCAATGTGCTTTACATGATACTACCCTTGAAGAGAATTTGGAAGCTTTAGCTGATGCAGAATGTGGCACCCTAGAGTGGCCCATATTACACCACTGTTCCGAAAGCTGCACTGGCTACTGGTTTGCCTCCAGTGCAATTCAAGGTGTTGAATTTAAATTTAAAAGCCCTGTATGTCATGAGTTCGGGTTACCTGACAAACCAATCTATGGGACAAGCCCACCCCATTTGTGCCAGCAGAGGAGGCATGCGACGGATCCTATCAGTCAAGGAATTTTGGTGGCAGGATCCAGGAGAAGAGTCTTCTCTGCCATGGCCCTGGCCTTTTCCCCCTGAGGAGTGGTTTGCTCATACCTTCCTAACTTTCTGTAAAAACCTGAACTTCTGGCTTTATCAGTTGGCTTGGGGTCCTGATGGGGGAATTAAATACTGAAGATGGTTGATCAAGTAACAGCAGTTCTCACATTCTTCCGCACCCCATATATTCTCCTTTCTTTCCCTCCATTTTAGTTATAACTTGTATTTTATTGTAATTTCAATGTGATTTTATATTTTTGTTCATATATTTATGGTTTCATTTTAATGTTGTAAGCCACCCAGACTTCTCTTGTGGTGAGATGGTCAGCAAACAAATTTAATAATAATAATAAACTGCTTCAATTTAGCCAACCAAATATTTGTAGATGGCCATATTTATTAATATATATTGGGAAGCTACTTGCACCTCAGGCTACAGGTAAGGTTTTTTTCCTCCCTTATTTCAAAACATGTTAAATCATGAACTATGATTTATAAGTCACAATCCTTGGAATCATATAGCATGCAAAACCCAACCCAAATTAGTTACATTGTGGCTTATAATGAGTCAAATTACAGAGTTGCTTTTCAAAGGAATAATAAAATAAGGAATTGTGGATAAAATTATGAAAACCTTATGTCCCTTGTTATAGAGAGGTTCAGCTATGTTAGTTTTTTGTAGATAATATTGCATTTAGGACTAAGAAGTTCACGACAGCTGCTAGGCTGCCTCTATTTATTATAAACTAGCGGTACCTGGCCACGCGTTGTTGTGGCTCAGTCTGGTTAAATGGAAAAGAAAGAAAAGAGAAAGCGCACGTTTGTAATATGTTTAATTTCACAATGCTTGTGGGTATGCTTTTACGTCCAACAGATGGCGCTGTTTTTCAAAAAAGCATGTTTTTACCTGTCACAGGTGTGACATCTATATAATATAGGTATATAAAAACACATGCGTATTCGAATGCAACGTTGTGTCAAAATTTCAAAGCAATCGGTGAAGAACTTTCGGAGATTTAAGATTTTGAACAAACGAACATTTACATTTTTATTTATATGGATAATATCTACTGACTTCTGTATATTAATCCAAGGATTTGTATACAAAGCTGAATATAAATATCTTCCTGACTATGAACTCAGCACCTTAATCAAACAATCCATAAGAATACTTCAAATATTAGTACTCAGCATGGTTCATCCTGAATTGTCCTTCTCTCTTAAAACCCAAATACTTCTTGTGGAAATGGTGGGTTATGAGCATCTCTGTTAAGGCTATGGGATTGGGCTGCACAGATCCAGAAGACTACTAGAGAGCAGTAATATTTTGAAAATACCCTTTACTACCAAAGCAGATTTTGTAGCCTGTTGGAAATGTAAGTTTAGTCACTTAGTTTTTATTCTGACAAGGAACCAAGAATCCAAAGAAATGGTTCTTTTCATCCTTCAGAATAATTATCCTTTGAGTC